CTCCTTAAAGGATTTCCTTTACGTCACGCATGGTCCTTCAGGTAAGTTACGTAGGTCAGAGTAGTAGAACAGGTGCAATCAGACTAGTGAGGAATAAAAGCCTAGCAAAATCTAGATTAGTTGACCCGAATAAGATGAGAAATCTGGAGAATAGTTCAGCTATACCACTCATTATCTGCAGTTACACACAACCATACAGTAGGATGACGGGATAAGATGACAGTTTTAAAATCTAATGTAACAGGGTGGAAGGAGAGATTGATGACAGCGGATGCTTTGTTTATCGAATCAACTGCAAACACCCCTGTAATAGGAATGATTCAAAACCTGTCCCAGATATCTGGAAAATTCTACTACCCCAACGACGACAAATAGGAGAGAACAAAGAAGGCCATATAACTCAAGTTTCGAAGTCGTGTGATTATAAATGATATGATTATGAACCGCAATAAATTGTGTTGGAAACTGTGCTATCCAGTAACTAATAATACTGTTTCACTGTGTGATATATCTAATAAACATACTAATATGGAGTTATTTACTACCACAGTGCCCAAGTTTTACATATATATATATATATATATATATATACATATATATATATATATATTAAAATCCATCTCTTCGTTTCCCATTTGGGTTCCACTTAGCTGAGGGGAGGAATTCATGGCATGTGATATCACTCAGCAGTTTCCTCAGTGTTTTTTTCCTTCACGTTCCCCAGTGAAAAATAGGGCTTCAAGCTAGTGGCTTGAAGTTTCTGTAGCAGCGTTTATTTCACAGAATGGGGTTGCTAGCCTCATGCCCAACCTTTACTCTTCACCAGCTTTATTTCTGGTTTAGCGAGGTAAAGGAGTGAGTCAGCCGGGGATCGAAACCCGGACTCTGTGCATGGTTGGCGAGAGTCCTAACCGCTATGCCACCGACGCGTTTAGTGTTTAGTCAAGCCATTTCCTTTATTTCCTTTCCCATATTTGTTGGTCGAGAACTTGTTGGCTGGTTCGTTTCCCGCCAAAGTTCCTATCATAATCTCTAGGTGATGAGATTGATTGGAAACGACCATTCAGCTACTGAAACAGAATTCAGCGGCTGATGAATCCTAACCTCAACCAATTCGTGACATATAGCACAATCTCTAGTCAGTGTTATCCATAGGAGTACAAATGTTCTCATTCGCAACTTAGTGGTTATTTTACTTTAATAAGTTTAACTATCAGTATTCTCGAGTTTCCCTTAACTCTCATGAATTGATTGTGTAGATCCTTCCATACGTGCAGGTGTGTGTCTGTATGTATATGTTGTTTTACTTTTTTATTCCTTCACTTTCCCAGTGGAATACATAGGGCTTCAAGCTAGAGACCTGAAGTTTCGGTAGCAGTGATGTTTATTATTTTTACGGGATGAGGTTGATAACCCCATGCCCACCCTTCCGTCTTTACCAGTCTTATTACTGGCTTAGCGAGCGAGATAAAGGAGTGCGTCGGTGGCTGGGGATCGAACCACGGACCACATGAGGCGTGGTCGATGAGCATTCAACTGCAGTGCCACCGATGCACACATGTATATGTTGTACAATAAGATAATAATAATATGCTTAATTCCAGAACAGTACTTGTGATATGGAATGGAATTCTCAGCACTTTTACTACAGTATTGCATCCAACTAGTACATTATCAATAAACAGAATTCTACATAGATTAAGGAGATCTCAGTTCATTATGACAACAACATATTGGCATGTCGGTAGCAAAGCCAAAGTTGAACAGTGTTTGAAGGTGTTAGAATAGTAGGTGCTATCATATTTACTGGCGTAAGCGGAAGTAAGAAACAAAGCAGCACATAAAGGAAAATAGGGAAAAGAGAGAGAGAAAAAAGGAAAAGAAAGAAAGAAAATGTTGTACCTATAAATGATATGAGTTGGAAAGACGAGGTCCAGTTGTTCTACTGACTATTTAATGAATTATAGGTGTCACGCCTAATGCTTTCTTTATCGCACAGAACAAGAGCCAAGTATTTAATATATTTGAGCATGAGATAATCATAGTCCCATCTCACCTTATGCGTCAGTAGTTCACCTTTGCACAAAATGGTTGCCAACCACTCAAGTGCATCGGGAATCGATCCCCAGCCAACATACTTGTAAACCTCACTTAAACGGTAGTAAGTCCGGTAAACTGGGAAACTTGGGCTCGAAATTAGCAAACCCGTCGTCGTAAAAAAGAATCATGGATGATTATAAAACACCAGTACTATTGAAATTTCAAAAGCTCAAGCTTAAAGCCCTATATTCTATCCAGAATAGTGTGTATACATAAAAACGGATTAGTGAATTGCTAGCCCTTTCATCAAACACAAACAATAACGTTAATACAAGTTCAAGGTTGTATTAAGAAAAGCGCGATGTTATATTCTTTATCAAATAGATGTATTCAATATAGAAGGAAATTAAATACTAAGGGTATACATCACATATATAACATATGGTATCACTTAAAAGATTTATAAATTCTTTCTTTTTCACCCTCATCAACTTATACTCATACTACTTTGAGTCTTTCAGTAATTAGGGACTTTCGTTTCATATATTATCATTATATGTTGTGCTCAGCGTAGAGATATACTTTGATGATAAGCACGAACTAATTGAGGAAACAAAATAGACGATATTTTCCACACAAAAAATTGCACCAATTCGTAATGATATAATTTGTGCTATAACCTCACTGTTAATAGAACCTTTTTCATGATAGGTTTTCCAGAGATTTGCATTAAAATTCATTGTAAATTTGCCTACAAATCAATATAAGTTAAACACTATTTAAAAACCATGAAGTCCTCCGCAGGTGTTTCGTCCAGGTCTGGGACTCTTCGGCTACTGATGGCTGAAATACATAGGATACAATTAAGAATACTTGAACTAGTGAATTAAATTTGAGCATTCCTTAGTCAACCTAATTGTACTGATTACAGGTCAGCAGTGGGAGTAGAATGTCGTGTAACTAAGTTATTTAGCCTAACACATAAATAGTTTTGACAATCGCCAAACACAGTTTATCTGGATTCATATTTTGGCCATTTCCATATATTTCATTGGAAACATCATTTATCTGTACTCACAAGAGAGGCTAGGTTGCGTGGAAGCACAGAATACCCCTCCTTTAAATAGTACAGACTTATCAAGTTTCGCGTATTGACAGATGTTCGAATTCATGGACCGGTGATTGGATTCATTTGTACTGATTGAATAGTCAACGAGCTTGCCTTGTAGTCTAAATGTCCTGAGTTCGATCCGTGGCACGAAAGTCATGGGGTGTGTACTGCTGAAGAGCCCTAAACACTAGGACTCTCTGGGTTTTACTAGTTCTGTAACTCATTTCAATCCCTGGTAAAACCAACCCTCTACAAAGTAGCTCTTGAAAATTATCAGCTGTCTGCTGTAAAGTCATCCCGTATGCTTTTCTCGTCTTTCTGAACAACATTGCTGATCGATTAAACTTATTATTATTTAGCTACTTAAAAACATACAATAATATAGCTTAGTTTCAGTATATCCCGACAAATTTAATAGACTCGGTTGCATACTTCTATCGTTATTTCATAAATATATATTGAAGAGAACAAACCATGCATTCATTAAAAAGTAGTATGTAACAACACTTTCTGTTAAATTTTAGTCTATCGCTATTCGCTCAACAAGTGAAGTTTCCATTCCAGGCAGATGCACTCCAGAACTTCCCCTACCCAGTAGTAAGCCTAGAAAAGAGTGAAGGTGAGGACAGCAACTGCGCCTCCTAAAAGAAACAGTATTATGTCTACAGGACTGGTCACGAGCTGACATCAGTTACAGAACCATTGGAAAACAAGTCAAGGAGTACTGGAAAACGATTTCGTCCCTATCTGAAACTCTTCATCAGTGCGCATACACCACCACCGTTCGAACCCAGGACCTCCAGGTCACGAGGATAGCTTGTAAAGCACTAAGTCACTGGGACCCGATCCAATGACCAGTCCATGAATTCCAGCTTCTGCCAATTCGCACTGTGTGCAGCGCAGCCGCCAGCCAGCGTCATTAGACAGTAACCGTTATCTTACCTGAATTGGTGGACCCCGCTAGTTATGACTTTTCACTAGAACCCCAGGTAGCCTCCTGTATAGGGCCAGCTGCTTGTGAGCATCAGATTAATTATCAAGTCTTGGTTTGCAGGGATTTTATTGGCTACATGACTGATCATGAAACACCTGTCCAGTAATTTCAGCTGGTTTTCCAATGGTTCTCTATCCAGTGTAAGCCCATGTTGAAATCCTGTGACCAATCAAATCCCCGCAACTCAGAACTTGATAATACCCTGTTTATTGAAATTACAGTGAGTCGAAGGCTTTTGCTCCATTCGGAAGGCAAAAGAATGAAAAAAGACGAGTCAGTCTGTCTTGGTCAATGCATTTTTTTCCCTTTTAGTGATCCCTATATGTATTTGCTCAGGGAGTATTTCCTGGATTACACTGACCACCAAGTTAGACTGAAACACTACAAATTATTTAAAATAATCTTACTCTGTTTAAGAGAAATTGATAACAAAATATTTCTGAACAATTAGCTGAACATTAAGCACACTTATTGCTTTAAATAATTTACAATTAATGTAGTATGTTGAAAATACACATGCAGAAAATATTCCGTCTATGAGCAATACACTAGATTTGTTTACGCTAAAATTAAATGGATTACGCAATTGACAACCAGACCAATTAAAGCATAGACCTAGCTGACGAAATTAAACGAATGTATTGAAAAGAATTCAACACGGAATTGACCAACCACAGACGTTAGGGTCAGTCATAATGCAAAGTTAATTTTGATTGGTTTATTTGTGCATAACCTATGACGATCAGATGACTTAGTCACGTGTGGCCTTGAAGTGATCGTTTGCATGTTGTGACGCACAGTTTTATTTAACTCTCATTGGATATTAGGTTGAAGGGGGGGAAGGCATAACTAGACAGGCAGATAACGCTGATTGGTAAGAAAAAAACTTAAGTCTAGGCACACATAAACAAGAAATGCACGTTTGTAGGACATTCTATCACACCTCGAAAACAATAAAAAGCTAAGACGCAATGTAGCAAGATTAATTCACGTTTTTTTGTGCAACCTCCCTGGACTAGCTAACTCTGCTAGAATACTACTAATGTCATTCTTTACACAATTCAGTTCATCTTCTGATGAAGACGAAGGATTATGGCCTCCACCGGGAAGACGAAAAAGGCATCCAGCTGGTGACAGACAACCTGACGAGTATAGTAGTACGTCTTCCAGTGACTGTGTATCGAATATATTCACACAAACCAGTGACCCTATGACTATTGCTCAGAATAGAACAACATCTCATCGATTTCAGTTCAATGAATCATTGAATTCGTCAAGTGGCATTTTTTCTCAACCAGCTAATCATTCCTTCCAGTCTAATGAGCCTCCATTTTCTCCGCTATTCTCAGATAGTTTCGACGGTGTACAAAATTGTCCCGGAAATACTGTTGACATGAAAATATGCTCACGATTTAACACTTTCCAACTGGATGATAACAATCCGTCCACAGAGAATGAATTCAATCCTTCTTCCACTCCTCTTATGCTCCGAAGATTTTTAAACAGTCAGCCGACTTCACGAACAGAATTGTCCCAGTCTTTACCACCGGTGAGATTTCAAACTTGGGTAAATGACTCTTCTCTCAGTTAGTAGTAGTAGTATATGTTAGTGTTTTAAAAAAATCTTTTTTTTTTGTATGCTTACATTCCAAAGAAATTAATATTTTTCTTTATAATCTCTTTATTATACATACACTTCTTACCGAGTTCTGGAAAAAAATATTGATACTTACCGATTTTTGGTAATTTTGTACATAAAATTTGATTTTGAACTAAATGTTTGTTGTTTTTTTTATTTCCTCACGAAGCTGCGGTGTAAGTGATATCAGGATAGGTTAGAGTCTTTTCGTCTATGCGTCATATTTTCCGCCTAATCATGAAAATAAGCAGCGTAGCGTGTTGATTTATTGATTGTAAGGATGTATGTGTATGACTATCGAGTCGCGTAAATAATCTTGTCTAATCTACATTAATCCTCAGTTGAATCGACTAATAGCCAAGAATTAAGCCGCAAAATCGGGTAGTGTCTACTAGGGTTTTTGGGTTGATTTTGATGACGAAATCGTAGTATGCTGTTGCGATGTCGATAAATATTCCCGAAATTGATACGTGAAATCTAGACAGTCGTTTGCAACCACCAAATTTTTTTTTACTAATTCGTTATGTAGCATGTAATTTGTTCAAAGATATACTCATTAGGCTTTCGAGTTCTTTTATTTTGACCCATACATGTGACTGTGTAATCGTATCTGATGACTGTGACCGATTATTTGTGAAGTTTGCTAGCTAAACTAAAGAAATTTATAAATTACGTTGGGTAGTCTCAATGGAGTAATCAGTGTCATGCGTTTTGTTATTTCATTCTGTTCATTCTACCAGTCATGTGTGCAGAGGAATTGTCACCACATTAGATGTTGTCTAACTATCGCGGGTGCATTTTGTATTGATGTTGGGTAGAGTAGGAGGCATATATTAGTAGTCGTAATAAATCTCTGAAATAAGTAGGCGTAGTGATAAACTCCGAATTTAAAGTTAAGTAACACAAGTTCATGACATTATGAATGCCTAAGAATGAGTTGACGGTACACCTTTCTGTTTAGAGTCTATACGATTGAAACTTAAGCCAATCTTCATGTTATATTGACCGACTTCTAATACCATACCGTATGATTAGGATGTGAAATGCTTCCAAAAAACAGTATAGACCTTTTGAATGTAGTTTTTTGGTTAAGAAGATTCAGATTATAAGGATAGAAGGCTGTTGTTGCCTATGTTAATCCTCTTCAGAGATCCAGTTTCTCTTTGAAAATGTTCACCGATGGGACTGTTACTACTGAATCAGGTAAGGAGTTCCAGTCGTTGACCACTCTTTGAGAGAATCTAAACTCCACACGTATTTTATTCGACCTCGGTTTGAGCACCTTCTTCTGATGACCCCGTAAATGTATCCTAGAGGAAGAGAAAAGGTTTGAAATGTCTATCCCTAAATCACCCTTGAATATACGGTATATTTGATAGGTTCATAACAAGATCCTCAAGAAAGGACAACTGTGTCGATATGTCGTACTCTACTGACGAACGTTTACCAGGTATTACATTCGTTTAAGCGCTCTAATATTCCAAATTGTTTAGATATGTGTAATCTGTCAAAAATATTTATTGAACTCACTCTGAATAACTACTGTGTATAATACTGTGAGTACGTTTCTCTGTTTATTGATTTTCTGTGAAGCTTTTTTTTATCACGTTGAGTATCAATCCGATTAGTTCTTTCAGCAAATGAGTTAGTAAATCGCTATGGAGACTGTGCACACGTCTCATGGGTGTTTTTTGTAACGATTAGTGTAATTTATTCAATGAAATCTAGAATATCTCACTTGTTTTATGGTGTCTAGCAGTGAAATCCAGGACCTAGTTGAGACTCATTGGCTTCAGCATGCATACTCCTCCATTGCAGATCGGTGATTCATCTGTAGAATGCTAGTCAGCTATGCAAGTGGTTCAGGTTCAGCTCCTGGTTGACATCCTCCGAAACCTACCCCAACTTACTAGCTGACAATAAGCTCGGAAGAAAGGGAAGGTTGGATGTGACATCGTCACTATTGTCATTGCTTGAAATAATTAGAAGCCTTAAGTTTCCACTCAACGATACAATGGAATAAAAAAGAAACCCCCTCATTGGTAATATTTTTCTCTCTGAGACTCGAAGTCAGCCAAGGTGTTGTCCGCGTGCGTTATCTTTTGCACGGTGTGTATGGTTTAAGATTATTTATTCATATACATGATTTTTCGTTTGAATATCTGGATCAAAGCGGTCAGTGTCATCTTGTTAATACAACTCCAGATACCACCAAACTAGTGTCTTTGCTTCATTGGTCCTGGTGATGTCGAGACATCCCTTCCGGCAGCCAATTTACTCTAAGTAACGTCATTCAATCTCTCTAAAGATATTTCACAACCGGAAGTTGCAAATATGAGTGAATAAATTTTAAATCTAGAATGTTTGAACGCCAATATGATCGCCTAAGTTTCAGTGTAGAAAGTCGCACATAAATGCAGCAGTTCAACTGGCTACACTCTTTATATGAGCACACAAAGATAGGGGAAAAAAACTTAAAGGAACTATGATAAATAGTGATGTAATGAGAATTTGATAGATCTAGGAGTTCATAAAGAGTGGATGCATCCGCCTCATCAGGAATGATTTCGAGACATTTCAGTAACAGTTTCCAACACAGTGCTTCTTAGCGTCTAAAGGACCAGAATCAGGTAGTCTGCATTTTCCTACGTGGCTCAAACTAACTGTCATGGACTGATGGCAAGTTATGGTTTGACCACTACTAGTTCTTTTCCAACCTGATCCTATGTCAGCTAGCATCTCTTAACGAAGAAGGCGGTGGCTAGGTATGCGTAACATATCGCAATCTGTGTAGCTTCACAATCTCTCTGATTGACTTTCTCTTCTTAGCCAACACTCGACGCCTAACCTCAATATTACGCACCCTATTATGCCACCTAACACTTGAGATAGAACGAAGACACTTATGATCGAAGTAGCTAGCCTTTTCATGTCTTCCACTTTCAATGACCGTGTCTCACAGGGATAAAAGAGGACGCAGCGAACTGGTGAGCAGTAAACATGTCCTTTGGTTGATAGCCAGCTGGGAATCACGTCTACGCTAGACATGATGCAGGTTAGCAAATGACACAATCCTTCTGTACCTATGGTGATATTTCGTCAACGGTCAGCCTGTTGGGGCTGATTCAACTTGCCAAATAAGTGAAGTGGTCAACACTCTCCACCAATTAACTCCCTATCCTTAAGCTCTATTTGGCAGGAGCAAATCGCATGCCATATATTCGAAGATTCCCGCTCAAAGTGTTCAGAAGACTCTGAATTTTGTCAGCATCTTTATCTAGAAGGAATATATCATCCGCATATTATATATAAGTCAGCAAGGCCGTTCTTTGGGAACAGGTCAATCCTTAAGTAGCTGAAGTCAGTTAGAGCGAATTCCATTGGCATATTTTTGATTAAATTAAACAGAAATGGGGATAATAGGCGTTTTGTGACGGGCACCACTGGTCGTCATCAATTCAGATGACAACTCTCTATATGTTTCTTACCTGGCTAGCTGCATGAGTACGAGTAGAATGCCTTGATTAGTGCCATTCACTTTCTCAACACTCCCTTCATGGCCAAACATTGCCATAGTATCCTCTCAGTCGACGAAGTTGAATGTCACCTTCAGGTCAAGAAATACAGCAACTGTTTGACGCCAATAAGTATGCCTATGTTCCAGAATCTGTTGAAAGGTGAAGATATGACCAACACACCCACTTGCTAGTCTACAGCCCTGCTTGGAATATACAATATGTGCTCTAGTCAGCTCAGTTGATGCAGCTTGCTTCACAGCCTTATCGATCGACTTATCCTCTTTACATAACACGTGATGCCTAATCTCTATATTACTAATCAGCCAGCGTATTGTACCATATAACACGGGAGATAGAACGCAAACATCCACAGTCAATGATATCTTATTATTATTATTGTTTCCTTTAATTCCTAGAGGAACATAGGGCTTCAGCCACGCGTCTCCATTGCGTTCGGTTCTTTGCTAGTGTCTTCACCTGGCTCCATGTCTGTCCACACGTTTTCATCTCTTCTTCACATGACCTCCTCCAAGTCACCCTTGCACTGACGACCAATTCGCCGCTTCCCTTTCGGGTTCCACTCGAGCAATGGCTTGTCTAGTGATGTCACTTGATGGTTTCCTCAGAGTATGGCCTTCAATCCACCTCCATTTCTTCCTGCAGATTTGTTGCACAATCGGTTCCTGATTGGTTCGCTCCCAGAGATCTTTGTTGCTGATCTATTCTGGCCGGCCATCTGATCTTGAGTAGTGTTGAGCGAAGACAACTGTTAATGAAGGTCTGTAGTTTGTTTGAGATGCTCTTTATGACACGCAGTGCAAGTCTCTGATCCGTATAGTAGCACTGACTTCACATTGGAGTTGAAAATCCGGATCTTATTTTTGATGCTGAGTGCTGTTGATCTATTTCACGCAGACTTGAGAGTAGTGAAAGCTTGTCTTGCTTTTCCGATTCTTGCTTTGATATCCTCGTCAGTTCCGTCCGCCTGTAGTTGAAACGATGCTTCCCAGGTAGGCAGGTAAAAGAGGTTGTTTCTTTCAGGTTCCTTCCGTTTATGCTGTCTGATTGTTGTCTGTTGTTGTTGCTGCTGTTGGTGGTGTTGCCCAGGAATCTTCATCACCTCTGTTTTCTCTATGTTCACCTGAAGTCCTTCCTGTGTTTGATGCTTCTTCTGCCAACTTGTTGCTTTTCATCACTTGCATATCTTCCAGTTTGTGGAAAATCAGACATATATCATCGGTGAAGTTCAGATCCTCCAAGTTTTTTGCGCGAGTCCATCTTATGCCTGTTTCCTCATTGCCCGCTGTTTGTCGCATTATCCAGTCTACTGCAATCAGGAAAATCATTGACGATAGTAGGCAGCCTCAAAGATATCTAGCGTCTTCTTATCTTCTATATTCTATATGCTTGTGTTTCACAGACATCTTAAGAGAATTACGCATTAGTATATATGCTCTTCTAGTTTCTTTCGATAGCAAAAAAGAATAATAATAATAAAATAATAATAATAATAAAAAAATAAAAGCTTGGTTACATTTATCAATCATATATTCTCAAAACAAAATTTACATACTCATTGTCATCTTGTTTTATGGCTATTAGGATTACCATAGTGGTCAC